AACCTGCTGACATAGGCTAAATCCTTTTTTCAGTACTGATTTCGCCTTTGCACTGGATTTGCTCTCTGATAATAAATCGGAGTTGTATAATGTTCTATAAATGAACTGTTCAAAAAATGTTGCCATTCGTTACTTCCAAACTGCAGATTGCAATCTGTTATCACAGAGAAATTTAGTAAGAATAGAAGTTGTAAGATCGTATGCTGGCCACGCTTCAATCCATTTCGTGCATAAGTCTGTTACTACCACAAGATCTTTTTTACCCTTCTTTGTTCTTGGGTAGGGTTCCATTATATCCAAACTTAAACTTTGCCATAGTCTTGTGGGTGCTTTTGGTTTTAACGGAGAATAAGGCTGACTGGAACCCGCTTTCATCCAAGCACAAATGACACACAATTGCACGTACATGATCACGAACACCCCAGTCCAGTAATGTTCTGAAATTGTTCTGTATGTTTTATCTCTTTCGGGATGCGACTAAGTTGGAACATCATATGATATTCATACAGAACTCTTTCGTAAAGATCACTTGGGGTTACAATTAAGTTAGAGCCTGACTTTATGTAAAATAAAACTTCATCTTCAACAATATATCGTGATTTTAAGATTCGTTCTTTTTTTTGTTAAATGTTCGCTCCTTGTGCTTTCTATATTTTTCATCATGGATGTTGAATTGTAGGATCCTCATTTTGTTCTTGAACAAGAGCCGCTCGTAAATTCCTTTTCCCAAAGTGATTGAGTTCACTGCTGGAAGTACCAGCCGTTTACCATACTCCTGTCTAGCCGTGTGGTCGTCATCTTCTGTTGGATTTCTTGATAAAAAGTCGGCAAATTCATTGTCTTTATCTGCACAGTGTTGTACACTTGGCCAAACATAAAACTGGTACAGGCAATATTATATTTTCTAAATTTGCCTAGTGTGAGTCAGGCTCAGGCTTAACAACAAAAAGTCTCTTCTGAAAAATGTCAAAACTGAACAAAAGTAAATGCAACATATGTTTTTATGTTATTATTGGTTTAAATATGACATTGACTTGACTCTTTTTGTCATTGTTGAGGTGATAAAAAAGGTCGATTTACACAATACAACACAATAGGAAAATGCGTACCAGTTTTATGATTGGCCAAGGGTACTGTAAAGTTTAAATCCTGATGAAGCAGTGCCAAACGAGTTAATTTAGCCCTTTCATCTTTATACTTATTTAGCCAAGTGAGTGATTTACTATCAGTAATAAGTGTAAATTATTTGTCTTTCAAATATGATCTAAATTTTTGGAATGCCCAAACTACTGCAAAAGTTTCTTGTTCATTTACATGGTATTTTCTTTCTGTTTTATTGAATTTTGAATTGGCATATGATATAATTTGACATGTATGAATTTGACGTTGATTTCTAGGGTCTATGCACAGAACACATATCCTCACGGATAGAAAAAAAAGCTTAATGGAGGGCGGGGCCTAAAAAAAAAGCTTCGGATCGCATCCGCTTGGGGACGCTGGAGTAAAACACAATTACAGGTGCGGAATGAAGGCCATCAGAAAATATACAGGTCACTGTTTACTTTTGCAGTTTACCATCCGCGGCGGTGCAACATTTTGGTGAATTTAGCCACACGCGGGACACAAACACAAGAAGTTTTGGCCGTTTTTGCTCTACTCGGAAGTAGAAGCCGTCGAATCGAATTCGACTATAATGAGGAAAAATCATTGGGAAAAATTAATATTGAAAAAATTGACATTGGATGAACTATTTTGACAGTTTATTTGATTACAGAAACCTATATTATAAATAGTTCGGATCGCATCCACAGCGCCGTGACAGCGCATTGTTCCCCAAAATTTTATTAGGCAGTTTGCCTTCTATCCGTGAGGATATGTATTCTGTGGGTCTATGTTTCTAGGTCCCCCTCATAGCCCTTGAAACAAAATTGCTTCTATTCCCTTTTGACTAGCATCTGTTTGTAGTATAAATGGGTTTTCAAAAATTGGCCTGTGTAATACTAACGGCTTCCCAAGTGCATTCTTAAGTTGTATAAATGCACTTTCAGCTTTATGGTTCGGTTCCAAGTTCCAACTAAACACTTTTTTGCCTGTAAGTTCAGTAATGGCCATTTGCACCGCTATTACTTAAGGGATATTTAATTTAAGTGGAGCTTTTGAATATGACTTTTGTTTCTACGAGAGTCACATTCAAAGCTCCACTTGGATTAAATATCCCTTAAGTTATAGCGGTGCAAATGACCGTAAGTGGTGCAGTAATTGTTGCAAAATTTGGAATTTATTCTCTAAGCCAGTTAGCCTTTTTGGCCTTGTTACCAAGGAATGACTGCAATTCTTTCATGGTAGTTGGTTTTTTCAAAATGTATCATCCACAAAGCATCCACATATACTTCGACAAATCTGTCGATGTTACCTTCCAAAACTTCAGCTAACTATGGGTTTTTGAAATGTAGATGGAGAGTTCGTTAAACCAAACGCCATGACTAAAAATTCGTACATAGCACTATCTGGAGTTCCAAAAGCTGTAAATTTAGTACTCTCCAGTTCCATTGACACTGAAAATACTTGTGCATTACTAAGATCTTTTATTGTATCTCTTATATGCGGTAACTGCGATACATTGGCTCAGTTTGTTTATTCAGTTGACGGTAATCAACACAAAACCGAAGTAAACCATTTTTTTTTCCACAATCGCAACTGGTGAACAAAAACTTGAACGACTTTCTTTAATTACACCTGCAGCTAACATTTTTCTTACTTCATCTTGAATAATTTCTGTTTTCTTCAGGGAATATTGATAACATCTGATCTTAAATGGTGTGTTGTCTATAAGTGTTATGTTATGATCTACCAATTTTGTAGTTGGTTGTCGTAAACCTTCTACAAAAATATCATGAAAACTATTTAATAAGTTTTTGAAAATGCTTATTGACTTGTCTGTTAAATGAGTTCGAAAGTAACAATTTGTTGATTTGGTTTTTGTTTTTGTTTTTCAGGATAAATATTTCAATGTACTATGAACCTGTTCTCCCAAGTTAATATGTACAACTTTGAACAAAATCTAAAATTGCATTTCGCATTTGTAACCAATCCCGTCCTAGAATCGCATCTTCTGACAGTGAGTCTATTTACCTACATGAAATTTTGTGTCAAATGTTTTTTCATCCAGTAAATATAGGCACAGTTTGGAAACCTGATGTTTTGAAAGTAACATCTTCTTTGGCTAATCTTACAATTGTTATATTTTCCGGTAAATTATTACTATGGGCGAACCGCTTACCTATATTTATATAATTTGCTTGTTATTTACTGTTTGAATACATGGTAATTTTTTATCTAAATTATAGTTTTGTATAGTGCTACTTTCTATCCTGTTCTTATCTGTTTCATTTATATCTTTGAGATCGTTTTCATAAATTACTGACACTGGAATTAAATCTTCAAACTTTAAAAAATCTCTACCTCTCAAATTAATGCGTAAATCTGGTTTCAATAATTCCAAAACTCGTTGTTTGTTTTTCACTATGTAATTTTCTATATAAGAGAGGCCTTCAGAGAATCGTTATTCAATCTTTCGAAATGTCTATTACAGAAAGAATCAAAACTCACGTCATGTAGTTCATACGCAGAGAACCATGATTTTGCTTCTCCCTCCAGATGATGCTTTACTTGACTAGATTCCTTTGGAACTTTTACTGTTCAAAATAGGACCTAAATTCCTGGATAAATTTTTCCAGACTCTGCCAATCCAATGCTGAGAACACTGGTAACTGGTCTGGTGAGCCTAATCTCTTTCCAAAGTTCAGAAAATATGGAAGACACATTTTGTAATATGTTCTATGATAAATTATGTTGCGAAATTTCTCCATAAATCGAGGAGTCTAGCGGTGCAGATCCTTAGGGTCTTTACTTTGGGTGTTCGCACAGATTGTGTTCGTACCATGGAGTTGGGCGCCATATCATCGTGGAGTTGTATTGGACATCATGATCGCTGTATGACCTGGTTCAAACATTGCGAAGTTTCACTCTTTCTGTCTTTCTCCGTAATAATTGCGATAATGGTGGAAATGCGGATTCCTCATTTATTCTTACTTTATTGCTTGAATAAAACTTGAGTTATATTCATAGATTGAAAATCTATTGACAACAAGAATAAATTTACTGAAAAGTTAAGATATCAGAGACTATTACTATAGTTACTCTATATTGACCTGTAGCAAAGGTGACTAATAACAGGCAAGTAGGTAAAAATCGCTCTGCAACAGGTTCTTGAAGCTCTTTTTCAGTGAATGCGTGAGTAATTCCTCGGAAATCACTACTGTAATAATTTCTTTAAGACGTTTCTCACAAGTAAACAACGAATCAATTTCTTATTCAATAGCTACTTTTGATTTTTGAAGCTTCCGATAATGTTAATTAAATGCATCTGTCTCAGTAATGGGTTTCTTTTTAAAGAGTTTTGTTCTGCATCTTTTGTTGATAGTTCGTGATACCCTGCTTTAATGCGCTCGTCCGGAGTCGATAATTAGTTACTTATTCAACGGCTACTAGTGAAACTTCACAACGTTCCATCAAATTATAGGCCAGTATATATAGGCACCTACCTATTACCGACCCTTTCAAAAATCAGTGAAAAAAGCGCCTAATAAAAATAATCTGCTTTCAGAAGAGCATTCTCGATTTTGTGAAGAGATGTACCGATAATGCAATGTTTTCATTCCTTCAGGAATTATACTTGAGAATAAATAATGGGAAGGTTAAGGTTGCAGCAGCGGTCTTCTATGACTTATCAAAGTCTTTTGATTGTGTTTTCGTTTAGCTTTTTCAGCACGATCTTAAGAAAATTCTTTTTTCGCTTTCACAATCGCTTTTCATATTTATGTGTTGAAAATAAATCAAACAAGGCACATATTTTTGAAAAGTTGTAAAATTAGGCTATTCAATAGTTGCTCCATTTAAAATGGGAGCGTAATAATTTAACTCAACCACACTTATATTACCTTGAAAAAGGACTGAAAAGTATAAGCATCCGATTGGCTCATCATAAAGACTCCGATGAAGGTAGACAGGCCTCCGAACAGTACTGCAGATCCTATAGAACTCACAGTTCTTAAAGCGCGCTCCTGTCTGGTACCCTCATGTATGGTTAAAAAAGTGTGTCCGATATGCGTAGCGTAATCCACACAAAGTCCAATGGCCAACTCCAGCCCGATACAGGACACCAAGTCAATGGTTAAACCCCAACGTTGCATAAAACCACACACATTGACCATCGTTACCAATACACAAACAAAAATCCATAAGCAAGTTTGCCAATCTGCTATCAGTAATATTGTACAGGCCATGACACAGATTAAGGCTAGTTCTAGATTTCTCATAACTTCTACGTCTATTAACTGAAAAAGAATTTTGTTCGGTAAGGATATTGGATACATTAGGTAGGTATTGGATATAATCAGAAACAGTGATCTCTGGCAACAACTTGAAAAGCTGAAATTGGCTCTTTCTCTAACTTTTAAATTTGTTTCACATGCCGTGTGGACTATAAGTTTGGCTGTGATAGGCTCTTCTTGATGCTTCTTTTTGACCAGTAGGCAGCTCTTTCTAAGGATAAATTTGCCACAAGTGGATTTTTTTATCCTATTTAACTTGTAGATTACTAAGAGGTTACATTTTTGTGCTACGATCGAGGCCTATCTCATAGTCATAATGTATTTACCGTTAAATTGATAACTGATTCTGATTCTGATTGTATCCATAATACACAAATTCCCTTATTACCTCATCGGTAATCCACATGGCAAAATATTTGGACCAAACAGTACCAAATCGATCGCCACTAGTGAAATTGGCATTTTCAGCTACGGCTTGCACCATATGCATGGGTGCAATTTGCAATCTGGGGTCCTTGAACCTTTTTATATTGAAATCGATGCTTGACATTTTGATTTTTGGAATCGGGACTCCGCACTCTAATTTACCATCGAAAACGAAATTGCCTTGGTACTTGGCGTAACGGGGACTGTGCAAGAATTTTGACATGAATATATTGAATCTGTCTTCGTCTAGGTCTTGCTGATAAACATCTAAAAAAATTGGATTTTTATTTTAGAATAATAATAGATAATAATTGTGTTTACCATGTTTGAAGTTAACCAACACAAAAGTCCTGAAAGGTTCTACCCAAGACATAACATTACTGGTAATGTATGTTAAGTTTTCCAGTTTTTCCACTGCCATATGGATTTTGCGTATTTCCTGGCTATAGTTGAGCGCTCCCATGTAAAAACCAGCGTCCCAACCAACGTGAGGAAAATGTACCTCTCTGGCTTTTAGGAAATCTGCCAAATTACTTTCCTGAGGCAGGAACCATTTGGGATCGAAACGTTGTTCCAGTCTCATGGTGCTTTCTATGCTGAAGCTGGTGCAGGTAAGGGTGATGAGAATGATTATTATCTGTAGTAAAATTATATTTGTTACAGATACATTTAAGATTACCAGTTACAGTTCTCACCTTGCCAGGAACAGTAAGTATCACATTTCCATAAACATACTCAAATGCTCTGCTGGTAAGTCGACTCTGGCTACATTTGTTAGGTTGATACTTTGGATGCTCTATACAAGGCAGGATGCCATTACGTCCATTTTCCAATCGTTTCTGGTCCAACACGAAACAGGCAGTGAAAAATGTTACAGCAAAAACGAACGTCATGAATACACCGAAAGCGGCATAAATACAGAAAGATTCGAGGCATGGAAGAATCTGGAAAAATAGTTTTACAGTTAATTTGAGGTATTTCACTGAGCTCATAGAGGGGTTAATATTAGATGATTTGTAATTTCTCCATGATTACACTCTGCAAAATATCAAAAAAAAAATCTCACTGTTGAAGATCCAATTATAAAAGCAATAACATCAGTAAACGACGTTATCGTTATAGAGACTCCAGCATGCTTCAACATCAATCCCACTCTTTCTGGTAATGGCAGTCTTGTTTCCGAAACAGATAATTCATCCCAACAATTCATTATTACCAACATATCGTCGACGCCTAAGCCCATAAGTAAAAACGGTAACGATATGTGCACGGGCCCATAAAATATACCAAAAAGCGAACACAATCCAGCGCCCACGATGAAGCCCATGCCGATGGTTAACAGGCCGACAGTACCTAAAACAGTCTGTTTTACTCCTGGGTGATGTCTGGTTCTGGTTAATGTTCAGCTTACCCTGACTTCTAGCCAGTTGAATTTTGATATGACGAATTGTACGTATATAACCATTATGGCTATGCCGATGCATAGTTTGTCTATGTCTTGGAACATTGAGGCGTTACTTATGTCACCAAAACTAGAAAAGAAAAAATGGATTTATGAGAATAAGAATTCGGGGCCGTTAAACAAGTGTTCTCTCCAGTCATTTGATGAGGTGCAGTACAACAGCTATCTCCTGTGAATCTTGTTTCACTATGGAACAAGATAAGGCTCTTTTCCTCTCACTTAAAAGATCAAACGGTAATAACTAAATATTCTCTTATTGTTGTCAAAACCAAAACCAGTAAAAGCTTTTCATTTATTCAATATACTTGAAGTTACCTATCTCATTAATTTGTGTTGAATTATCTGAGACTTATTTTTGTTGCTTGGTTCCCGCAGAAAACAAAAAAGTTATAAGTTTTTTCCAAAACTATCAAATTGGTCCCTCATATAGTGTTTTGCAGTTTCTAATAGCAATTTTATGCAACGGGGAGAGTCAAAATGCATCTACAACCATTGATCTCACATATGAGGTCACAGCTTGTGACAGGTAGCACTAAAGTATAGGTTTGTTCCAACTGCTTACCTTCTGCTAGCAAAATAATAAAATTCCTTCTCGTTTTCCTTTATCTTCTCCGATATGTTGATAAAAGTTATTTCCCATTCCAAGGCTTTTTCGTTGGCCTAAAAACAAATACACCCGAAATTTAAAAAAGATTGACAGAAACTAGATTTCTTACCCAATCTCCTGTACCAGCCATATTGCCAGCTTTACTCATATCAACTGAAGAAAAATTCACCAAAAGTAACCAATAGTTTTCGATAGCTTTTGCTCCAATAATGTGTCCAGTTTCATTTTTAACTACTCCACCCAATAAGTGTTCGTAACTTTTGAGTTTACCAAAAATTAAACTAAAAGAAAATATCCTATAAGTAAAAGTATTTAAGTGTTATTATTAAAATACTTTTTGTCATAAGAATTAATATCATTGACAATGTCCTCCTTAGTAAGTAACGATATGTGAGTCATATTAAAATCCCATAATTCTAAAATACTTTTAGTATAACAATCAGTCTTCATTGTTTCAATAAAACTACAATACAGCGCCGCATTCATTGTTGTGCTCGGATCTGCTTCGTCTTCTTTTTCGCTCATCATTAGCCTTAATAATTTTTTATTCACTTTTGGAATCCTGAAACATTAATAATAAATGTGTTTGATGATGATGCTGTTTAGAGTCTACACTTACTTAAAGCACACATCTCTCATGGTGATGTTGTTTGGTGTTTTTGCTGACATTACTTCAGTGTGGATTTTGGCAAGCTGAAAAATAATAATGAGCATGGTTAGCTTGTGGGGATGAAGATTCAAGGCACAGTGTTATCCAGGAAAAATGCCTTTTTACTTTAAAAGCTTCAATACATCTGGGTATTTATTTACACAAAAAAGCCATTATATTATAAAAAAATATAGTCCAAATATAATTTAAATGAAAAGCTAAATAATATAACAGCGGAATATTTTTAGTTTCATAATAGATCACACATTCTCAGCTTTACAGGATGGCAGTAAATCACTTCCAAAAAGTAGTTATCAGCAATTAATTATTTAAATTGAACATAATTATCTTAGCTAAAAAATAAAAATCACTTTAAAAGATGGAATGGAAAAACCAAGCAACCTTTTAAAAGAAAAAATTATCATTATTTTTTTTTAATTTCTCAAGCTTTTTCATTTGGAAATTTTTACTTTGAAGCTCCAAATTGACCAGGTTTGACTATTGGACAGTGGACCCAATTAGTTTAAAAAATCCCAATTGTTTTTTGAAATTCGGTGCTTTAATTACCTAATGACCTTCGACCTAATGACTGATTATAGAGTTTTCACTGAATTTTGTAGGAAATAGATTTACTCGATTAACTGAACAACGTACGATAATAGTTTCAATTCAACCTATTGAAAAAACATTATTTTTTCATGACTTGATTTTTTTTTTAAATATTTAGGTGGTACTTACTGGAAAATTGTTATCAAGATCATTTCCATCGAACAAAAATTTTGCTTCTAAATTAAATAGATCAGATAGAGAGGTTTTTTCCAATAATTTTACCCTTTTCTATCCGCTGCATTAGCCCTTTTTGCAAATTTGAAAACATATACTTGGAGCGATTCCACATGGATTGATTCGAAAGACCATTTACCAATAATCCCCAATTTTCTGGTCTCACTTGTTGATATTTGTGAATGACTGATCCTTATATTATTATGTGTTTCTATTATAATAAATTTTATACAGGGTGTAAGTATGTCTTCCGAGGTCAACTATCGGGATCTTGGAACTGGTAAGGGTTTCAGGTTCGCTTCAAAATTTGAAACATTGACAATAATTTTTATCATGATACCTATGATACGTATATTGACTCTGTTCTTTTCTATGGAGTTCTTAGTCTAAGGTGTTGAGGCCTCAAAAGTGAATATGTATATGATAATGAAAGAACCATTATGGTTATGGTTATCATTAATTTATAAGTGGATCATTATAGTGTTCAAGGTTCAAGGAAATTTTTGAATTTCTTCTCATAAGTCGTACAAAAAAAAGCTATAGGTATAACCATCACAAACAGTTAGGATTTACAGGTCTCCGACAATATTTTACACCATCGACCAGTAATAATCGTCCTCACTGTTTTTAATACCAAATAAATAATATAGTGTATTTTTTTATTAGGTAGGTACTTTATTTATGAACTCAACCCCTGTAACTTTTTTATGTACAGGGTGATCTATTATAAATGTCAGCCCCTTCTAACTTTTTTATTTGACATTTTTGACAGAAGTGTCAAATACAAAAGTTTCAAGAAATTGTCAAAAGTTTTTAACTGAGTAAGTTTTAGGCATACAGGGTGCGTCAAAAAAGTGCAGCAGTGTGAAGTTATACTTTTTTAAATGGAACACCCTGTATATTCTACGGTTATTTGTTAGTCCCTTTCAACTTGATTTCAACGATATATGGTTTGATACGTCTATCTTCAATAGTTATAGGGGACATGGGCGTCGTTACGAGGTTTCTCAGGGGGAGGGCAGTATTATAATAAGACCATTTCCATTAGCGCCGCGCCACGCTCCTTTTTGAGCATTTTAACGTACTTATTTGATATCGATATTTAGTTAAAATTATGGTATTTTTTTCCGCAACAAATTCACTGTCCGCGTCATTTGTTTAGGTAATTTTCCAGTGCCGTAACTAGGGCGTGGCGAAGGTGGCATTTGCCACGGGCGCAAGGTTCAGAAGGGCGCAATCTGCCAGTAATGGTTAAGCGTAAAGCGCCTTCTGCACAACAAACCAAAACTTTAAAGAGCGCTTTTCGCATTTTATACTTATGCAGTTATACAGAGACATAGATATTGATATGGTATGGTTTAAACGAAGTATCTTCGGATAACATTAAAACTTCAGGGGGCATCTTCTTATGAAATTAGGCATCATATGCCTGAAACAGCCTTGGAATTCCCAAGAACGAAGCATTCTAATTCCTAGGCTGTTACACGCATATGCTTAATTACACAAGAAGATGCCGCCTACAAAGTTTTTATGTCAGAATAACCCAGAAGAAAAAAGGAACCAAAAATGCCTGGTGAGGAAGCAAATGCCGTCATGACGGCATTTTTTTGATTTCAAAGCATATTTGGAAATTGAACTCTTGCAAGTCATACATGCAATTATAATACAGATTGGGGATAGAAATGTGGATCTTAATACTGAATACTGTGACAGCTGATTTTGGTTTTCTCAGTAGTTGTGCTGTCGAGGAAACTACTCTCAGGTTTTAAAAAGCTACATACGAAATAGAATTTTATCGAAATGGGTTTTTAAGAAATGTTGCAAAGTACATACAGTCCGTCGTTCTTAATCTGATACTCCAAAGGAATGTGAGCTGGTGGCTCCCTACGTTAGAACGCCAATAGTCACCTGACGTTACACCTGTTTCTGCCATATGCTTCACCCCCCTCGCTCCTCATACGGAAAGTGTCAGATTAAAAACGACGGACAATATGTAAGACTTTACTCCTGAAGATATTTATCCTAACATACGGACAGCTTTAAAGAATATTTCTGAACGTTCCATTGAGTACTGCTACGTGTGAGCGTTCCTTTGTTAAACTAAAGCTTATATAGTCAATGTCACATTCTCACATTTCACTTACTTTACTTTTAATTATGAGGAATTATCGACGTAGTTGCAGGGTTAATATCTAGAAAAAAGGGTCAATATCTAAAAAAAAGATAATTTAGGCTCCTGCGTGTTCCACGTTTCTTAGTTTTTTGTGATCCTCTTGATGTCTTTGATGATAATATTTCATTAATGTCAAATGAAACAGGAATTTTTATCTCAGCTCCTTTTCTTGTTAAAATATGAAATTTACAAAATCAGCATTTGTGTGACATTATGGGGCGAGGGCGCAAATTAATAACCTGTCACAGGCGCAAACAGGTCTAGTTACCGCTCTGTAAATTTTCTATGTCAAATCCGTTGAATGTAATCAAAATGTCAGCCAATTTTTCACAGCACAGCGTATTCATTGAAGGTCGTTACTCAAATAGGTAATCACTAATCTTTCATCAAAACATATGTTTTATTAAAAATACCTACAGATACAATTGCACAAATCAGGTACAAATTACAAGTTTTACAAAAATAGGTTTTACGAAAAACCAATTTTTTCCCAATGGAACAGACTAACAAAAATAAAACTACAAAATTCTAGAACTGCATAGGTAGGAATAAAGGAAGTGACCTTCTGAGTCTAAAAAAAAAAAATATTTTAGCGATACGAATACGAACTCTCTTTCACTGCTTTCTTGTTCAAAAGACTATTTCTAGGGGGGGGGACAAATTTTGTCAAAAACGTCAAATGAAAAAGTTAGCAGGGGGTGACATTTATAATAGATCACCCTGTACGATCAAAAATAAACAGGGGGTGGTACTTTACATGACTGGTATACCGAGTCCTAGGTTTCATTATAAGATAAAGCGAAATCCAAATTCAATTCAAATACTGGATCCGAACATAACGTCAGAACAACAAATAGAAATACATCAAAGTAATTATCCAAAATTATAGGCTTGAAGTAATAGTTTGAAAAGAACTGTCCCATAAAATAGTAATCAGTAATAAATTAATGAAATAATTATGCGTGTCTTGTATTTCAAAAAAAAAAACTAAATGATAAATAATATTAGGTTTTAACTGTGATGCGGTCTCTTACGCTAATGAATCATTGACGTACCTAATTGGGTAACCCAGTACCTACCATCATGTTTTTTTTTACGGTACATTAATCATAAAAAAAAAAATTAGGTGATAATAATATGATTACAGAATGTAGTATTTCATTTTCTAGAAAAACTTTAACGGCTCTCCAGCTTAAAAGTAGAACCCAATGTTTTAGACGCACTGGCAACAATTTGATCGATAAGTATGTGGATTTGAAATAAACACGTCTCTTAAGCGAATAAAAGCCATTATTGCGAGTAGTATGCTCTACTTTATTTACGACAAATTAATTTATTTGAGATTTTCAATGAACAAATTTCATCCGTCTCATAATTTTCAATACAAATCTAACAAATCCACAAGCACTACACGTTTGACACTGACACTTTTGTGGAATAATGACCATTAATCCCGCTATTCGTCATTAATCCCTGGAGGAATAACATATGTCATTATACTGCCAAAATCACAAATATAATACGCACATTATACATTAGTCGTAAATAAAGGCTAATTAAATGCCCCGATGAGAAATTTAAGGCTTCTTAATTTTTCGCGAAAATGACTGTTCTTGACATTTCACTTGCACAGACAATAAAGGCTCATTGAAGGCTCTGAAAAAACACCAATCGTGAATTTCAGGCTCAATTACTTTTTTTGTGAAAATGCAAGAAGCGCGATGCGGGAGAGCTGTCGGCCAAGCATGGCAGAAAAACTTCTCAAGACGGTGAAAATCGGTGTTCCGGTAGTGCAGTCGTAGTGATAAAATTAAAGGCTATTGAAATGCTGTAATGAGAAATTTTAGGCTCCATCAATTTTCGCGAAAATAGCTATTCTGCTAACTTTAACCTAAGCCAGCAGAACATGGGCGAAAAAGTGGTTAAAAAGGTCATTGGTTAAAACAAAGAAAATTTCAATTCCAGATGTACCGACATTAAAGGCTCATTGAAGGCTCTGGAAATACACCAATCGCGAATTTCAGGCTCAATTACTTTTTTTGTGAAAACGCGAAAAGTGGCGATATGTGAGTAATGTCGGCAGAGCAT